GGCATTTACCTCAACCGCCATCGGCATAAGCTGGGCCCTGGTGTGGGCGGTTGGCTTTATCACCATCGACACATGTTGGCCCTTGGTGCGGGCGGTTGCCTCGACCACCATCGACAGAAGATGGGCCCTGGTGCAGGCAGTTGCCTTAAACACCATCGACACACGCTAGTCGATCACCATGGGCCCTGGTGCGGGTGGTTACTGCGAACACCATCGGCAAACGCTGGGCCTTGGTGCGGGCTGTCACCTTGAACACCATCGGCACATGTTGGGTCCTGGTACGACCAGTTGCCTCGATTTCCATCGACACACGCAGGGCCCTGGTGCAGCCGATTGCCTCCAGCACCATCGACACGCGTTGGGCCCTGGTGCGGGCGGTTGCCTCGATCAACATTGGCACACACTGGGCCCTGGTATGGGTGGTGCGGGCGGTTGCCTCGATCACCATCGACACACGCTAGGCCCTGGTGCGGGCGGTGCAGGCGGTTGCTTCGAGTACCATCAGCAAATGTTGGTCGATCACCATTGGTACACGTTAGGCCCTGGTACGAGCGGTTACCTCGATCACCATCGGCACACGCTGGGCCCTGGTACGGGTGGTTGCCTCGAGCACCACGGCACACGCTGGGCCTTGGTGCGGGCGGTTGCCTCGATCACCATCGGCACACACTGGGCCCTAGTGTGGGTGGTGTGGGCGGTTTCCTCGAGCACCATTGGCACACACTGGTTGATCACCATCGACACACGCTAGGCCTCGGTGTGAGCGGCTGCCTCGATCACCATCGACACACGCTGGGCACCGGTGCGGGTGGTTGCCTCGAACACCACCGGCACATGCTGGGCCCTAGTACGGGTGGTTGCGTCGAACACCATCGACACATGTTGGGCCCTGGTGCGGGCGGTTGCAACGATCACCATCGTCACACTCTGAGCCTTGGTGCGGGTTTCACGGGCTCTGACCTTAGACTCAGAATCCATGTGGCCTTAGGCTTGGAATATCCTCCTTTGTGCCTAAGTCAGCCTAAAACACAAGCGCGCGGGCACTAGAACAATAGGAAGGGCTGATTACGTAAGTTAAAGAGAAACAGGATGAACAAGACAGAATTCTAGAAATGCTCTTGTATTCACTGAAACAGAAGTGTTTGATGGTGTACAAATGAGGGTGGAGTAGCCCTCTATTTATAGTTGAGGCTCCAGCTACAACTTAATGGCATATCCCTAGAATAAAGGCTACAATCATGGGATTACATTTAATCAAGATGCTGGTTCCTGATTTTCAGGGTCAACCAAATCTGCCAGGATGCTGATGCTGATCCTGCCTGGTTCCAGAAGCTTCCCTTGCGTATCCAGCACCTCGGGCCCTTCTGGATGTGGTGCGGGCAGCCCAAATGCCAGGCCTTGGTCTCATGAGTTGGCCTGCAAGATGGGCGGGCGTTTGGAGCTCGTTTGATAGGCTTTGCGCACTGA